AAGACCCCAGCCTTCAGTATGGATTGCATTTCAATGTCAAGAAAACAAAAAGTCTCACAACTGGACCAATAAATAATATCATGATAAATGGAGAAGAGATTGAAGTTGTCAAAGACGTTCTTTGCTTGGATCTACAATCAACACTCATGGAAGCAGCAGTCAAGAAATCAAACAACATACTGCATTAGCAAATCTGTTGCACAAAACCGCTTTTAAAGTGTTCCAAGAGCAAAGATACCAGTTTGAGGACTAAAGTGCGCTTGACCCAAGCCAAGGTATTTTCAATAGCATCATAAGCATGTGAAAATTGGACAGTGAATAAAGAAAACTGTAGAAAAATTGATGCACTTGAGTTACGGTGTTGGAGACAAATATTGAAAGTACCATGGACTGCCAGAAGAACAAACAAATCTGTGTTAGAAGCCAGAATCACGAGATATTGTCTCTCATATTTCAGACATGTTATCAGGAATGTCCAGTCCCTGGAGAAGGGCATTATGCTTGGTAAAGTGGAGCTTCATTAAAAAGAGGAAGATCCCCAATGCGATGGATTGGCACAGAGGCAGGAATATATATATATATCTTGTTAAGTGCCATTGAGTCAGTTCTGACTCATAGTCAATTTGTGTAGAGTTTCAGAAGAGCAGTTAGTTGGTACATTTGAACCTCTTACCTTGTGGTTCAAACTGACCTTTTGGTCCAGGGCATTATCCTGCAGCACCAGACCATTTATATATACATGGACTCCTGGTATGGCACTGTAAAATAAGCACTGGACTTCGAACTACAAGGTCCACAGTTCAAAACTTCCAGCTGTTGCTTGAAAACTCTGTTATTATGAGTCAGAATGTGGTGTTACGCTGTGGGTTAATGTGCTGGACTGGACTGCAACGTCGGTTTGAACTACAAGGTCAGCAGGTCAAGCTTACCAGCTTCTCCTCAGAAACCTATACAGGATCACTATGAGTCAGAACCAATTCGACGGCACTTAACAACAACAATTTATATAGAGAGAGGAGTCCCGGTATGATGCTGTAGGATAAGCACTGGATTGCTAACCAAGGTTGGCAGCTCAAACCTACCAGCCACTCCTCGGAAACCCTATACAGTCTCTATGAGTCAGAACCAACTCAATGGCACTTAGCAACATATATATACTTAACACAATAAAAATATTTTTCACTTTTATAAAGGATTTTTTTAAGTCAGTGACTGAAGAATGGAAATAGGAAACCCAAGGAAATAGTGGGAACAGTGCTATTACATGGAGGGAATTGCAACCAATGTCACAAAATCAAGTGTGTATAAATTGCTGAATGGAAAATTAATCATGTGCACTGTAAATTTTTACCCAATTTACAATAAAAAGTTACAGAAAAAAACAGTGATCCTAGTAACACTGCAACATCTCGCCATGACAAAAAGATAAATGACAAAATTACATGTTACATCAATTGCTTCTTAACCAATGATTTGGCTGGGAAGCTGGGAAGCATTGGCATTCACTTAAAACTAAAAAGAGCACACACCTCACCATTCCAGCTTCCGTTCCATGCAATAAATGAACAGAACTTAAATTTAAGGTGCATCTACTAGGGCATATGGGGAATTTTTCAATTGACAGTTTCAAAGCCCTCATGCTTTTCTTTGCAGCCATTTTTCCTCTAGCTTCCCTTAGATTATTGGGCAGAAGGAAGTATAGAATGGGTATATAAAATACAAGCCCAAGCAAGAGGTTATATACATCAGATCTCAGCAATTCCTTTCTCTTCCCTTGCCATTTAAAGATTTTAAGCACTCACTGATTAAAATATTAAGTGTTTCAGAAACGGAATAAATTTTTTTTTTTTTTCTTGTAGCTTTTGCACATTAAGTTCTGCAGAGAAGTGTGTTGAGATGCTGGTATGGTCCAAGTGCAAAAAGGGAACACAGTTTTTCCTTCAGGTGTATATCATATGGTAAAGCAAACAGAAAATCCTACTTTACACCAAAAGCATATGATCTCTTTCTCATCTTTACATGCAGATACAAGTAAAGTCATTTGAGTGAATTTGAGTGAAAAAACTATACTTTACCACTGTTGTTAATTATTCAACTCATAGTGGTCCTGTATAGAGTTTCCGAGGAGTGGTTAGTGGGTCTGAACCGCCAACCTTGCAGTTCAAGCAGACCTTATGGTCAAATGCTTTATCCCTACTGCTGTTGTTGTTAAGTGTTGTCAATTCCAACCCATAGCAACCCTGTATAGGGTTTCCAAGGAGCAGCTGGTGAGCTTGAGCCACTGACCTTGCAGTTCAAACGACTTTGCAGTCTGATGCATTAGCCCACAGCGCCACACCAGGACTCTATCCCTACTAGTTATTATTAATTTTGCATAAGCCTTTTCAAGTAACTACGATTCAAATAGATGTATATAATCTATGCTATTTGTACATTTATTCAAAAACCACATAAAAAGGGTATTTATAAAATTACATTTTACATATAGCCAGACACCTCTCTTTCTGTTGCAACCTCTAAATCACATTTTAATTGCAAAATTACCCAACTCCCTGTTCTTCTTGCTTCTTCATTTTAGCCATTTTTCTCCTTAATTCATCAGATGGCAGATAAGAAGTGAGGGCAAATGAAACTCAGAACTGATCAATGTTTCAGAATTTTATTGATAATCCAGAAACTCTGGAATGAACAGTTTAGATCACTTAAGAGTCTTAAAAGTTCCAGGTATCTACCTGTCACAGACCAAGAAACCTGCCATAGACCAGGTAGCAGTCCTTCAAATAGACCAAGGGGGTACTGTATGGTTTAAAAACAGGCAAGGTGTATATCAGGATTGTATTGTTTCACCATACTTATTCAGCCTGTATGCTGGGCAAATAATCCAAGAAACTGGACTCTATGAAGAAGATTATGAAATCAGGTTAGGACATGCTAATGACACTACCTTATTTGCTGAAAATGAAGAGGACTTGAAGCATTTACTGATGAATATCAAAGAATACAGACTTCAGTATGGATTACAAAAATCCTCACAATAGGACCAATAAACAGCATCATGATCAATGGAGACAAAATGGACGTGAAGGATTTCATTTTACTTGAATCTATAATCAACATCCATGGAAACAACAAACAAGAAATCTAATGACCAGTTGCGTTGGTCAGATCTGCTTTCAAAAGACTTCTTTATAATGTTTATAATTATATGCAAAGATGTCACTTTGAAGAGTAATAAGGTGCATCTGCCCCTCAGCCATGGTATTTTCAATCGCCTCAGATGCATGCAAAAGCTGGACGATGAATAAGGAAGATCAGAGAAGAGCTGAAGCCTTTGAATTATAGTGATGATGAAGAATAATGAATATACCATGGACTGTTAGAAGAACACATCAATTTGTCTTGGAAGAAGCAGTACCAGAACTCTCTTGAGAGGGCTGTAAGATTTTGTCTCATGTGCTTGGACATGTTAGTTACCAGGAGGGACCAGTCCCTGAGAAGACCATCATGCTTGGGAGTAGGTTGGTGAAAAAGAGGAAGACCATCAACTATATGGACTGACACAGTGACTGCACCAATGGGCGCAAACATAGTCAACGGTCATGAGGATGGCACTGAACCAGGCAGTGGTTCATTGGATTGTATATAGGGTCTCTATGAATAGTCGGAACTGATTTGACAGCACTTAACAACAATTCTGGCATTTACACAAGTTTTAAGTAAATATAATTCGTACATATAGCGCATCTGGAGTCCTGGTGTGGTGCTGTAAGACAAGCACTGGACTGCTAGCTGCAAGGTCAACAGTTCAAACCCACCAGCTGTTCCTGGGAAACCCTTTACAGGATCATTGTAAGTCAGAACCAACTCGATGGCAATTAACAACAACAGCTCACTCATCAATTTAAATGGAAATTTCTCATAAATGCATTACATTGATGCTAGCTACGATCATTCAGTCAATTATTTGCCTTTTCAAGCACCCTTCATCAATGTGGCTGCTAATTATCCAGAGTCATTGAGACATACACAACAGTAGTGTTTATATGGTTGAAGACACATGGAGCCTACTTCCGATTGCAGTATCCTTAAAAGACATCTGAAACACCATACCTGCATCTCAGGAACATGAATTTATTATGGACACAATGTAAAAAACAAGCCAGCACAAGAAGTGATGTTTCCATTCTGAGAATTTAACTGACTAGATTTCTCCCGTGGGTGAATAACTGAATGCCAAGGCTTTACAGATTTCTGACTTCTTCCTTGGAAAGACTGCCCCCCACAAGAAGAACTTAATTTTCCAATTTTCCACCTGCTCCACATGTTCCTCCAGAATCTGATTGGATCGGAATAAAATACAAGCATTTAAAGGAAATACTTTGATTTGTATTTGATTGACAGTGTTTTCTGAGTGCTCTCAGGTGACAAGAAATTACAGAAGGGATAAGTGAGAGAGACTTAAACCTCACAAAAGAAAAATTAAAAATTAACATAAATTAGGGATAAATTAGGGCAGAGGAGTTACTGATTATACAAAAGTCCATTTGAGATGGAGACAGTAGGAGGGTGGGCTCTCCCTTGTCCACTATTTCAAAAGTAGTGCTTTCCCCAATATTCAGTGATGGTACTCACTCTCCGACAAAGGGTCTTTGATCTTCCCCCATTAAATATATCTTGCATGGACCTAGCCTGAACTTAGTAAGAGAGAGAGATTAAAAAAAAAAAAGCATTTATATGAAAGGGAGGAATACTGGGAATACTGTATGTCTCAAAGATTATTCATTACCTTTCAAAAAACACAGCTATTTGTGAAGTCTTTGTGTAACACATATGTGAAAGATGACTGTCCTGCTTAATCACAGGGTTTTGTTGTGCTTCTGCATTTTTTATTCTTGCCTCAGATCAGATGGAGAGCCCAACCGAGTAAGGCAACGAATCAGACATGGCAATTTACACTCAAAAAGACTTGACATGATGGTTGAAAAGAAAAGCTTCCTTACCTGAATTGGAGGGTTTAGAAACTCTTCCTTTAGGAACCGGGAGGAGCAATAATTCCAAGGATTGTGGCGGCGGTGGAGGGGGAGGTGGAGGTGGTGGAGGTGGCGGGGTGACTTTTTCTTGCTTTTTCTCTGAAGGCGGTAGTGGTAGAGGATCCTCAGGCACCAGTGATGATTTCTCAGCCAGAAGACTCCCAGCAGCCCTTGCTGCGACCTCTTTCAGAAGAGCCGCTGAGGAGGTCATAGAAGCCAGGGACAGAAAGGAGCTGGCTGGAGGTGGGTGTTCCTGACCAGGAGTCAAACTTCTCTCGCTGACTTTCTTGGATAAAGCTGCCAAGGTGGAACTGGCAGACTGCGAACTAAAAGGGGAGGAGAAGGACTCAAATCGCATCGTCTCCTCAGTCCTGGTGAGAGATTTGTCCTGAAGAACAGCATTGGCTGCAGCTTTCAGTTTTAGGATGGCTGAATCCGGGGACAAGCCACAGGTGGTGGTTGAGTTTGGCAACCACTTACCTTGATTCCATATAAAACGATTATTTGGAGTGTATTGGTCATTCTGTTCCTGCTTCTCAGCCAACTTCCTGGCAAGAACACTGAGCTGCTGGGCATGGTGGGATGGAGGCGAAAAGGAGAGATTCGAGCCAGTATTTACTGGGGATTCCACTCCGCCATTGGCAGTGGCTGTGGCATCGAGTTTGAGAGAACCAGCCTCCAGCAGCCGCCTCAGGTTGCTGCTCAGGGGCTTATTGGAACCTGGGGAGTCATCCTCACACAAAGAAGACACACCAGGGGAAAGGTGATCCTGACACTGCAGTGAGTCCCGTAGGACGTCACCGTCCAGTGCTACCAGCTCCAAGGTGTGACTGCTAGGAGTCCCACTTCCCAAGGAGGTATCAGGGGAGGTGGATTGCTCTTGGATCCGATCCTCCAGAGACAATTTATAGTTCTCCTGGACTTCTCCATAGGATGCTTCTGACGGAGTCTCTGAAGAGTTTCCATACCAGTGTTCTCCTTCACTGAGTTCGCCCTCCGCTTCTTCTTGCCTACTAACATCTGGGGGAATTAAGAAGATCAGGTTTACTTCCAAAGCGGGCAATAAGCAAGTCTTAAGACACTCAAATGGAATTGTTAACATGCTTCCTCTTCCCTTCCACCCATGAACCAAATGACAGAAAGATTTCTAGGAAGAGAAAGTCAGGTGCTGAATTGGTCTTAGCATAAGACGGGGGAAAAAAAAAAAACAAAACCAACAGTTAATGGTAAAACCAGGGCCTCAAATCAGTTCATTTCAGTTCATTCCCCTGCTGAGGAACTGCATTTGCATCTCAGATAAACTGAATCAGAACCTATATTTTAATAAGATCCCCCAATGAATTTTATGTAAAATGGTTTGAAGCTCTCTCTGGGTAAAACACACCCACCAAACTCATGACCAAACTCAATTATAACTCACAGAGACCCTATAGGACACAGCAGAACTGCTACAAAGGCTGTCCAGGGTAGAAATCATTTAAGGAAGCAGACTGACTCATCTTTCTCCTGCAGAGATGTTAGTGGATTCAAACAACTGAACTTTCTGATAGGCACCCAAAGCTTAACTCACTGTACCATGGTGGAAAATTCCATTGCCTTTTCATTACATTTCTCACAAACTTCTTGAAGTCCCCATTATATATTATTTTATATATATTAATTTCTAATAACTTGTTGTTGTTGTTGTTATTGTTAAGTGCCGTCGAGTCAGTTCCAACCCATAGCGACCTTGTATAGGGTTTCCGAGGAGAAGCTAGTGAGCTTGAAGCGCCGACCTTGCAGTTCAAATGGCTTTGCAGTCTGGCGCATTAACCCACAGAGCCACACCAGGACGCCTTCTAATAACTACTTCAGATAAATTGACATGGGAAAGAAAAGTGAGTAAACAAATGGATCTGCTAAGGAAATCATGAGATGAAGAGCCTGCTATTTCAATGAATGGGGAAATGGAAAGAAGTTTGTATGTATACTTGTGAAGAATTGGTATGATATGTAAGTATCACGTCAGAATCAGAGAGGCAGCTTGGTATAGCTGGCAAACATTGGCTGCGAGACCCATTTCACCACTTTCTAATTCTATGACTTTCAGCAAGTCACTTAGCTGCTTTGAGTGAGATGCCACTTCCTGCAAAATAAGATGTAATTACTGAAGACATGAGTTAATCAAAAATTGTAAACAACAGCTAACTGACTTCACCCAGTTGTTAAGAAACATGTTGTTGCTGTCAAGTACTGGTGAGTGGTTCTGACTCATAGCGACCCTGGATAGGGTTCCAGGAACAGCTGGTGGGTTTGAACTGTGGTCCTTGTGGTTCACAGCCCAGTGCTGACCCTATCAGAATAAGTATGTGAGGTGATCATGTTTTGCAAATAGCCAAGTATTATATAAAAGGAAGAGCTTATTAGCAAACTACTCATATTACTGATTTCTTAAAGTGACAATATCTCTCATGTTATTCACGCTCACCTGTTTGAGAGATCTGGTCCCAGTCACCAACATGCCTGCTATCTAACCCCAGGTAACGATTAGGAATTTACCCTCTTATTCCACTAGCCAAATACATTATTTCGGACTCATAGCGACCCTGAAGGGTAGAGAAGAAATGCTCCAGATGGTTTCCTAGGCTATACATTTTTATGGAAGCAGACAGCTTCATTTTTCTCCCACACAGCGGCTGGTGGGTTCAAATAGTGGACCTTTTGGTTAGCAGCCCAATGTTTAACCCATGCCTCCCTTTTAATGATTCTCTATGTCTGAACTCAAGGAACTCTTGTGGCACTGTAATCTAAACACTGGACTGCTAAGCACAAGGTATGATGTTCAAACCCACCAGCCGCTCTGCCTGCAGGAGAAAGATGAGTGAGGCTTTCAGCTCCTGTAAAGATTTACAGTCTCAGAAATCCTATGCAGAGTCACTGAGAGTTGGAGCAGATTCCATGATGTGAGTTTGTTTTTTTTTTTTGTTGTTGTTGTTGTTATTCCGAATTCACTAACCTACCTCTACCACTTCCCTACCCAACCTCCCAATGCAACCAGGAGCAATTGTGAACTCTGCCAATTTTCCACTTTTGCTCATGGAATATCTTTCCCCAGAAAACCTGTCCAAACCTACCATCATTGATGACCCAGGTCAAAGTATTCTTCTTCATGAGTCTCCCTAAAGCTCAAACTCAGAATTAATTTCTCCTTATTCATTTATCCAAAGGAGACCTGGTTAAGCGCTTGACTGCTAACCCAAAAAAAGTTTCACAGTTCAAATCCAGCAGCTGCTCCATGGAAGAGAGATGAGGCAGTCTGCTTCTGTAAAGACTGTTGTTGTTGTTAAGTGCCACTGAGTCGGTTCCGACCCATAGCGACCCTGTACAGGGTTTCTGAGGGTGTAAATCTTTACGGGAGTAGAAAGCCTCACCTTTCTCCCGCGGAGCAGCTGGTAGTTTCGAACCGCTGACCTTAAGGTTCGCAGCCCGATTCATAACCACTACGCTACCAGAGCTCCTTATTACAGCCTTGGAATCCTATGGGGCAATTCTATGCCATCCTATTAGATGACTATGAGTCGAAATTGACTCCATGGCAACAGGTTTATTCATTCATTCACACATTCAACAAATAATTATGGAGTACCTGCTACATGCCAAGTATTGTTCTTGGTGCTGGGAATACAAAAACAACAACAAAGATCTCCACTGTCTTGGTGCATACATCCCAGTGGAAGAAGAGGGGGTTAAACAAAGAAAAAGAATAAATTCATAAATAAAATATGTAGCATGCCAAGGGTGATAAATGCCATGGGGAAGAAATAATACATAAAGCAGGATAGGAAGGACTGTGGGAAATGAGTAGGAGGTGAGTTGCAGTTTTAAACAGGGTGGTCAGGGTGGGCTTCATTGAGATGGTGACATCTGAGCCAAGACTTGCAGAAGTAAAGGAGTTGGCCATGCAGCTCTTGTAGGTAAAGGGAGAGTCTCTGCTCTGGCCCTGCTATGGAAATATGTCTGGCATGTTCATAGGACACCCAGGACGCAAGTGTGTAGGAGTGGAGTGAGTGAGGGTCAGAATAGTAACAGGAGTGAAGATATGTGCATGTGTGTGCGATGGAGGAGGGGGCACTGTGCAGATCATTAAGACACGGTAAACTACTGAAAGGTCTTTTGTGTCTGGCAAAACAGAGAATGACTGGAGGGTTCTAAGCAGGGGAGTGACACAGTAATCTAATAGTGTGGACGGTCCTGGCTGCTGTGTGAAAAGCAGACTGCAGGTACAAGGGTGGAAGGAGGGATACCAGCTACAAGGCTGAAAGCCAGGAAGAGGAATGGATGTGATCAAAATGATTGTAGGTGGCAAAACAGGACCATCTTCTGGGCATATTTTGAATGCAGGGCCAACATTTCCATGCTTTGTTTGTGTTGATTTTGTATCACTCTAAATTATCCCTATGATGGGCTTATCTTCGAATATGTTGCTCCTTGTGGACAGGAAGCCTATTTTATTACCTACATATCCCATATCATGTCTAGTAGAGTTTAATAAATGCTTAGGATTTGAATCAAAACTCCCCACTGTGCCAAATTTTGCTGTACAGCATGCTGTTACTTTTCTGAATAGCTAGAATTAGTAATGCATGAACTACAAGCTAATACATTGATCTTCCCGTGTTATTTAGAGAAGAAATGTCACAAATGACAAACTCTCTTTCAGTAAGCTAAAGTTCTGCAGCTCTTTCCTAAGATTTTTATTAAATTATAAAGAAAATGTAAAATATCAAGTGGAATTGGCTAGGGGGAAAAAGCAGATAAAATTGAATTTTGTCAAAAAAAAAAACAAACAAACAAAAAGAAACTCTGGTTCTTTATGATTTTGCCCACATTTCCTTCTTCCCACTTAATTTCAACATTCTGCATCTTTCCAGAAATCAGTGGTGACCCTGAACTACTTGTCTCCCCAAAGGTTTCTCATAGAAATGCTTCTGCTAAACACTAAACAGTCAACATCAATTTCAACAATAGGGCTAATTTATGTTACATTAGCAAACCACCTTTCTTGATTTCTGATTAAATACCTTATCCCTCAGGAAAATGTCCTATAAATAGTAAGAGAATAAGAAAATTTAAAAATCTTTAAAGTAAGAATTAGTTGAACATCTCCTCTAAGAAATTACTCTTGCGATTTTTCATTGGTCCTCATTTAATGAACTAACATAAATAAGAAAATATATAATTCAACATTTAAGAATTTTATGATGTTTAGGGTGATGAGAGGAGCTCTGATGGTACTATAGGATATGCACTGGACTGCTAACCGCAAGGCTGGTAGTTTAAACCTATCAACCACTCCCAGGGATAAAAATTAGACTTTTTGCTCCTATAAATCTTTGCAGCCTCGGAAACCCTATACATGAGTCAGATTCAATTTCATGGCAGCGGGTTTGGTGTTTTGAAGTTCTTTTAGGATGATGAAAAAGTATTATAAATAAAATGCTTGACCGTTGCACAACCCTGCGTACGTCATTAATGCCACAGAACTGTGCATTTACAAATGGCTACAGCAGCAAATTTTATGTTAAATATTGTTTGTTGCCAGGTACCATCAAATTGATTCTGACTCATAGAACTGCCCCAAAGGGTATTCCTGGGTGTAATCTTTAAGGAGGAGATTGGCAGGTTTTTCTCCCATGAAGCTTCTAAGTGGATTAGAACTGCCAACCTTTCATTTAGCAACCTGGATCTTAACAGTTGCGCCACAAAGGTTTCTTATATATTGCTCACAGTAATCATTTTTCAAATATACAATTAGTATCTTTAGACTATACTTTCATTATACTACAGATTGAATTGTGTCCCCTAAAAACATGTGTTGAAATCCAAACCACTGTACCATATGAACTCATTTGGAAATAAGGGTTTTCCTTTTATGTTAATTAGGTCCTGGGAGTGTAGAGTGAGTCCTAATATTTCTGAGTTATAAAAAGAGCAGAAGGCACACACAGGTGGTTAAAGAAAGATAGAGGACCGAGACAGAT